TAGTAATCATAATATCATCTACATAAACCACCAATAAAACATATCCAGCATCTGGCTGTCCATGAAACACAGAATGGTCTGTTTGACATCGAAGAAGATCAAACTCAAATTGTATCTAAAAACTTACCGAACCATGTCCTTGGTGACTGTTTCAGTGTGTTTTTTGCAAGAAACAAAGTGCAATCTTTTGGTGGAAAATTTGGTAATTCCGATTTTTCAGCAAAACTCTCTCACTTGATGACCAAACTCCCAAAAACATTGGACCTTTTTCTATTTATTGTACTTTGCATGACTTTTCATCTAACCAGACAGAGCCTACAATGGTGAAGTTCTAGTCGGTCAAACATGGAGAAAAAAAAACCCGATTTTATACGCTTATGTGCACAAGTTAATATCCACTGTAACGTAATATAATGTTAATATTGATAATGAGCGGTTTAGGCCGGATTGCTTTAGAGTCCAAGACCCTCTAGGCTTGTAAAAAAAGGTCTAAGCAGCTCATTCAGATAATATTCCTCAGGCTTCAACTGGATTACAACCCGGTTCGAGGGAAGCTCGACATTAACAAACCCGGTATAGCTACCAGTTTGGGAGATGGGAGCACAGCACAGGGGCAGTCTGCAAGAACTGCAGTATGACACGTGGACATGAGATAAGGAAATATTACCTAACGGATCTGATGAACAAAAACCCGCAAGTAATAGAGATGGTTCAATTACTCCGATCTGCGAGTAGTGGATGCAGAAAGGTGTTAGGGACAATTGCTTCAGGACAGGGACAAATGCAAAAGGAACCACGGAATCAGCTAAAAAAGATAAACACAAAACCTTAACTGCCAGTTTTATATATATAGCCAACAAGGCTACTGTGCACAGAAATGGCCATTAGAAAAGCTACCAAGTAAAACCCAGGTGATATCTTGTATAAGGCTTCAAGCCAAACATCCTGCGTTAACAATTTTCTTCCTCAGACAATACAAGTCCCAAGGAACAAGAGACTCCCGTATAGTAGATATAACTTTAGTCTTTCGGTTAAAGGCGAATCACTCATATTGTTATCTTCTTCTTTTATCATACACTTATCATACACACACATTCTCTCATACATACTCACACGCACTTATTGGGCTTCACCCCAAATTGTTCTGCAATCCAGTCTAGTTAATTTCGAGCACCATTAAACATTTTCACATAATATTATCATCTAATAATAAACTTGTAATCAACTAAATTGAATCGCATTCTTCATTTGGGTAATAATTACATTACATGGATTAGTGATTATTTCACATTGAGGTGTTGCCATTGAAAGTGTGGGGTTCACTTTAAATAATTATTAATTTATTATTAAACATTGATACTACATAATAATGCTGACGTGGTTCATCATTACATTGAATATTTTCTTACGGGGCACTATATTGCTATTCTGGTTTAACTTTTTTTTATTTAATAATCCAAGCCTAATTTTTCTTCGCAACAAGGGATAAGTGGCCATGTATTAAATTTAATCTCAGTCACTTGGTATTACGATGTTACAAAACACGTCATTAAAATGCCACATTGTATTCTTGTGTCGTAAGTAGGGTTAGCAATTGTATTTGGTGAAGTGAGTTCACGTCATGTAAAACGAGTTTGTATCAAAAATAACTTAACATATTCACGACTCATTTTTGAACGAGCCTCATTTATTTAATGGGTTTTTCGATGGGATTCGTTTAACAAGACTATTTTCTTAAAAAATTAACTTAAGAAACCTATAAAAAATCTAAAAAATTCTTGATTTTGAATAAATCATACCTTTCAACAAATATTATACAGCTGGAAAAAAAAGATTTGGGGCTACAAAAAGAGGTTGCATGCATTTGTCTGTTTTTCAGTAAATTGATGGTTACAAGAGATTAGGGTCCCAACATTGCCTAGCACCGGTGCTGCAACCCACCACCATACCCAATAGCCACAACCATCAAACCCACCACCATAATTACAACCCATCAGTTCTTTGACGATTGACGAAATCAGCTTTGAGGAGTTTGACCACTTCTTAGTTGATTTCTTATTTCTTTATGGGGCAAAAGTTTGTTTCTTCTATCGGATGTGTTTATGGTTGGGATCTATGTTGAGCCGTTGGGTTATTACTTCAGGTTCAATTTCGAGCATGTCCTGATGGTCCCATGTAAAAACGTTATAATTTTCCCTTAAGCATTCTAGAAGTGTAGCATGGAGTTCGGGTGTGAGGAGAGCACTAGTCTGAACTATTCTTTCGAAGGGCTTCTGGTCAATTGTTACCAGCTCGAGGTTTCCCAATTGGGTTCCCATTTCTTCACAATCTCTTGCATCCGTGGACTTGACCTAGAGACTTTCCTTGGGCTTCTTCTCTCGTAGGGAAGGGGTGTAGCATTCCCTCTTCATTGCTTGATCTCCTCTCACCTAAAATATTCCCTCCGAAGTTGAGAAGTATAGCAGTAGATGATAAATAAAGGGAACAACTCAGAGGACATTAAGGGTTGGCCTCCCCATGTTGACATTGTACGAGGATAGGGAGTCCATAATCCTAAAGTTGACCATGATTGTTGACCATTGAGGAAGATCCCCTGCTGTGACGAGAAGAGGTTGGAGCCAAGGGGAAAAGATTTTTCTTTAGAGAACTCAATTAGGGAAGTGACAAAGGGTTGGAGTTTCTCCCGACCTAAATCGAGTTGGTTGAAGGCCTTAGGTATAGGATGTCTGCCGAGCTCATTGTCGACTAGGATCCTCTTGACCTTATGGTTGGAGATGGTCAAGGTTACCACCAAAGGATCGCTGTGAGGGCACTGTATATGATGATGCACAAATTGGTTTTGCACACCACCTGTCAAATAAGTAGTATAAAATGCAGTAAAACAAGTAAAGAGAGAGAGAAGATAAGGTTTATACTAGTTCGGTCAACGTGACTTACGTCCACTTTGAATGGCAAGGGTCGGCGATATTTTTATTAACTCAGGTGTGTAGAGAGAGAAAAGAGTTACAAGCTTTTAGANATATGACTTACGTCCACTTTGAATGGCAAGGGTCGACGATATTTTTATTAACTCAGGTGTGTAGAGAGAGAAAAGAGTTACAAGCTTTTAGAGGGTGATGAGAGAATTATCTTGAATAAGTGTCTTGATGATGCCCCCCAAGTTAGTGGGGCTTACAATTTATAGTGGCTTAGTGTAGTAATTGAATAGCTAGTCTAGCGGTTATAATGGATTGGGGTCGTCTAATAGTCATAACGGATTGTGGTGACTTTAACAGTAATTAAATAGTTTGGTGACCTCTCCTCTCCTCAACGGGTAAGGAAGTTATGATGTTCTTCAAAAGACTTGATAAAAGGATGAGGGAATGTTGACTCTCTTCAAGTGGCNCATCAACGGGTAAGGAAGTTATGATGCTCTTCAAAAGACTTGGTAAAAGGATGAGGGAATGTTGACTCTCTTCAAGTGGCGAGGATGAGGCTTTTGGATGATCCTTACTCCAAAGTGGCTAAGAGGAGACTCTTGGATGACCCTTACTCCAAGGTGGCTAGGAGGAGGCTNCCTCAACGGGTAAGGAAGTTATGATGTTCTTCAAAAGACTTGATAAAAGGATGAGGGAATGTTGACTCTCTTCAAGTGGCGAGGATGAGGCTTTTGGATGATCCTTACTCCAAGGTGGCTAAGAGGAGACTCTTGGATGACCCTTACTCCAAGGTGGCTAGGAGGAGGCTTCCTTGCTGATGTAGCTCCTCAAACCTAATGAGCTTGATTGGGCATGGACCACTTTGGGCTTATAACATGGGTTGGACCCTTGGGCCTGACCCATCATTTGTCCCCCAATACTTTGCATCTAATAGAACTTGGAAAGGAGGGCATTCAAGTTGAGTTTGAATTTTTGGCTAACTGACATAACTAGAAAAGCGTCGAGAGGCCANTAGACCACTTTGGGCTTATAAAATGGGTTGGACCCTTGGGCCTGACCCATCATTTACCCCCCAATACTTTGCATCTAATAGAACTTGGAAAGGAGGGCATTCAAGTTGAGTTTGAATTTTTGGCTAACTGACATAACTAGAAAAGCGTCGAGAGGCCAAAACCTGTGCTTTTAGGCTTTTTTTTTTTTGAGATTTTAACAGAATTAGTCACAGCCAAAGGCTATAAGTCTTGTAGGGTTCGCCGAAAACTTCGATTTGATATATTATGGGCCTCATTTGGACTAACGGACTGAAAGTTAGGGTCAAAATAGTGAGCAGGGAGCTGGGCGCGCTATTTTAGGCAAGCAGACAGCTTTTAGGCGAGTAGGCAGCGTCCTGGGCAAGTCGCTAAATTTTATTTTTTTTTTGAAAAAATTTCTGGAGGCCAAAACCATTGTTTCTGAGTCTTTTTTGGACTTTTAACAGCATCACTAAAAGCCAAGGGCTATAAGTATTGTAGGGCTCGCCGAGAGCTTCAATTAGATATATAATAAGCCCCGTTTGTAGTTACAGAGCAAAAGTTACGGTCACAATAGTGTGCAACCCTTTTTAAATTCGAATTTTTTGAAAACACTTTTTGATTGGCGACTCCCTCCGTTCTAGTAGACTCCTTTTGCCTGTAGGACTCCATTAGCTATGTAAACTTCCTCTTTTAATTCCTTTTTTTTTTTTTTGATTCTTGAAGAGCCCCATTCCATACAATTTTAAGTAAAAAGGAGAGCTCTTCTTGAAATCCTTCAAGAACAAAAGGGTGAGATTCTTAAACCCAACATTCAGAGCAATGTCAATTGAGATAGATGAGTTTGTGAATTTCGATGGAGAGCCTGGAGAAATTAATGTTGTTCTCGGAGAGGAAAAGAAAACAGGCGTCGGCGTGGAGGTGCTCGGGCCATCCACCGTCGTTGTTGTTTGTGCGCCATGGGACTGTCCGAGGTGGTGGAACCTATAAAGGGCAAGCCCGCTATTTTTGTTAAAGATGGGAGATCTCGGGTGATGGAGGAGGCCATTTGGGTGTTGCCCNTTTGTGCGCCATGGGACTGTCCGGGGTGGTGGAACCTATAAAGGGCAAGCCCGCTGTTTTTGTTAAAGATGGGAGATCTCGGGTGATGGAGGAGGCCATTTGGGTGTTGCCCAGCACCACCCAAGGAGTGTCAAACGAGCAGGCTGCCCAGTCAGGCGAGGGGCGAGCAACCCAGGTAGCCTATAATGGGCGAGCAGCTCCCATATCTACGATGGGCAAGCGGGCCCTNAAGCTGCCCAGTCAGGCAAGGGGCGAGCAACCCCTGTGGTCTGCAATGGGCGAGCAGCTCCCATATCCACGATGGGCAAGCGGGCCCTGGGCTTGTGATGGGCAAGCGGCCCTTGAGATTTGAGATAGGCGAGTAGCCCCTGAGTTTCAAGATGGGCAAGCAGCCCACGAGGTTCGCGATGGGCGAACTACTCATGAGGTTGGCGAGCAGATTAGGCGCGGTGAGGAAGCGTTGCTAGGCCTTAGGTGTGTAGCCTGCTGAGGCCTAAGGCAGCGGACAACATCTTTGAAGCACCTATAGTGCTGGGTGCTACTTGAGGAGCACTCATGGGACTAGGTGTTGCTCAAGGGATGCTAGTACCTAGGAACAAGTGCCAGATGGATGAGGCCCCGATCGTTGACATTCAATTTAATGTAGTCTCTCGGGTTGCAGACGACCTAAGTTTCAAGATCCTGCTTAAAGATGGCAAAAAAAATGTAATTCCAAACATCAAAATATGTAATATGATTACCTGGAGAGAGAGGCAGGTTGCTTGCACGAGAGCAAAGTCAGAGTTTGAAGTTGCTTATGAGAGAGTTGTGCCTCTTGAGACTGAACTTCTGGTGACCGTGATAGAGTTGATAAGCGGGAGATATAGACTGCCTACTTGAGAGCAAAGCAGAGATAGGGCAAGCTTTTTTGCGACCCGCGAGAGAGCCACTAATCTAGAGATAGACTGTCTGCTTGAGAGCAGAGTAGAGATAGGACAAGCTTTTTTTGGTGACCTACGGAGAGATACTAAGCTGGAGATAGGTTGTCTGCTTGAGTGCGGAGCAGAGATAGGTCAAGCTTGTGGCGACCGGTGAGATGATTCACCTCGCTTGGACCTGTTGATGTCCTCAACATTCATATATTTTTAAGTTTTTGCCAATAGTTCTAGCATGCTCTTTGGTGGTCGCTTAATTACTGAAAAGAGGAAACTCGATGAGTGGAGATCTCCTAGGAAGGTAGTCAAGGTAACTTTGTCATTGGACTCCTCGATTTGGGAACCTCCTCGTTAAAATGAGTGAGGTAACTCCTTAGACTCTCATCTCATTCTTGTTGTATGCTAAGCAGATGAGTGGCAAGCTTCAGCTGGTAGCATCCACCAATGAACTATTTCACAAAGGATCTACTCAGTTCGACGAAGGAGCCTATAGAGGCCAAAGTGAGTTTGGCGAACCATTATCGCGTTGATCCCTTCAAGGTGGTACGGAATGCACTACACATAATTTCGTCAGGGACGTTGTGCAACTGTATTAAGGTCTTGTAGCTTTCAAGATGATCAAGTGGGTCCTTTGTACCGTCGAAATTTTCTACCAATGGCATTTTGAACTTTTGGGGAAGTGAATAGTTCGCCACATCTGGTATGAAGGGTGTGCTAGTTCGCCTTACCAGGTAATTGACAGTTTCGGGTCCTTGTGCCTTCATGGCATTGAAGACGTTGCCTAGTTGATTCTACACTTTAATTTTTTCATCCCAGTGGTTGGGAGCTCCTTTGTAATTGTCATGGAAATGGCTTCCATGCTCCACACTGTGGTTTTTGCCCTCATCCTCTTAGAAATATGGGTCTTCACCAAGAGAAGAAGGAGCTCGAGGAGGAGGTGGAGGTCCCTCATGGTGGGCTCTTTTATGTGGAGTGCCCAAGTGGGGAGCTCCTTGACGCCCAAGACGTGGAGCTCCTTTAGCTTGAGGTCCTCCGGGTTGTGCTTCTCCTTGTTGTCCAATGAGCATCAGTTGCAGGATTTGTTATTTCTGGACTATAAGCTCCTGCGTTGTGTCCATCATCTGTTGTGCACTTTGGACGCGATTGGCAGGTGGAGGAGCAACCTCCTCCTCTCGTGCTGGATTTTCTTCAGGCTGATTCATGGATCTAGTGGTGGTTGCAATTGATTCTAGTAGTGATCACAATTGATTTAGCAGAGAAAGTGTTTAGGAGAGAATTTTTTCATTTTCCCATAGACGGTGTCAAACTGATGATACACAAATTAATTTTGCACACCACTTGTCAAGTAAGCAATATAAAATGCAATAAAACAAGTAGAGGGGGAAAGAAGACAAGGTTTATAGTGGTTCAGTCAACGTGACATACGTTCACTTTGAATGGCAAGGGTCGCCGGTATTTTATTAACTCAGGTGTATAGGGAGAGCAAAGAGTTACAAGCTTTGAGAAGGTGAGGAGAGAATTATCTTGAATGACTGTCTTGATGATGCCCTTAAGTGTTGGTAGCTTACAATTTATAGAGACTTAGTGTAGTAATTGAATAGCTAGTCTGACGGTCATAACGGGTTGGGACCATTTAATAGTCATAACGGATTTGGGTGACTTTAACAGTAATTAAATAGCTTGACAACCTTGCCTCTCCTAAACGAGCAAAGAAGTTATGATGCTCTCCAAAAGACTTGGTCAAAGGATGAGGGAAGGTTGACTCTATAGAAGTGGCAAGGATGAGGCTCTTGGATGATCCTTACTCCAAAGGGACTAGGAGGAGGCTCTTAGATGACCCTTACTCCAAGGTGGCTAGGAGGAGGCTCTCTTGTTGATGTAGCTCCTCGAACCTAGTAAGGTTAATCGGGCGTGGACCACTTTGGATGTTGGATCTCTCAGAGTTGGGATCTTAATTTAAACTGGGCTTACAACATGGGTTGGGCCCTTGGGCCTAGCCTATCATTTAAACTGATGATACACAAATTAGTTTTGCACACCACCTGTCAAGTAAGCAATATAAAATATAGTAAAACAAGTAGAGGGAGAGAGAAGACAAGGTTTATAGTGGTTCAGTCAACATGACCTATGTCCACATTGAATGAAAAGGGTCGCTAGTATTTTTATTAACTCGGGTGTGTAGAAAAGCAAAGAGTTACAAGCTTTGAGAGGTTGAGGAGAGAATTATCTTGAATGAGTGTCTTGATGATGCCCCCCAAGTGTTGGTGGGGCTTACAATTTATAGTGGTTTAATGTCGTAATTGAATAGTTAGTTTGGTAGTCATAACGGGTTGGGGCCATTTAATAGTCATAACGGATTGGGGTGACTTTCACAGTAATTAAATAACTTGGCGAGCTCTCCTCTCCTCAACGGGCAAGAAAGTTATGATGCTCTCCAAAAGACTAGGTCAAAGGACCAGGAAAAGTTGACTCTCTTCAATGAGACTCTTGGATGATCCTTACTCCAAGGTGGATAGGAAGAGACTCTTGGATGACCCTTACTCCAAGGTGGCTAGGAGGAGGCTCCCTTGATGATGTAATTCCTCGAAATTGGTGAGCTTGATCTGGCGTGGACCACTTTAGGCGCTGGATCTCTTGGAGTTGGGCTCTTAAATTAAACTGAGCTTACAACATAGGTTGGGCCCTTGTGTCTGGCCCATCATTTGCCCTCTAATGCCTTGCATCTAACAGAACTTGGAAATGAGGGTATTCAGGTTGATTTTGAATTTTTAGCTGACCAGCATAACTAGAAAAGCTTCGAGAGGCCAAAATCGCATGCCCCCGCTTTGTACTCTCTATTTTGACTGTTACTTTCGGTCTGTTACTCCAAATGAGGCCCATAATACATCAAATTGAAGCTCTCGGCGAGCCTTATAAGAATCCTAGCCTTTGGATTTGAGTGATGGTAGTAATAGCTCAAAAAAGGCCTAAAATCATAGGTTTTGGCCTCTCAAAACTTTTCCAGTTATGCTGGTCAGCCGAAAATTCAAACTCAACCTGAATGCTCTTATTTCCAAGTTCTGTTAGACATAGGGCATTGGGGGGCAAATAATGGGCCAATCCCAAGAGCCCAACCCATGTTAGAAGTCCAGTTTAAATTAAGAGTCCAACTCTAAGAGATCCAGCGCCCAAAGTGGTCCACGCCCGATCAAACTCACCAGGTTCAAGGAGCTACATCAATAAGAGAGCCTCCTCCTAGCCACCTTGGAGTAAAAATCATTTAAGAGCCTCATTCTCACAGCTTGAAGAGAGGCAACCTTCCCTCATCATTTGACCAAGTCTTTTAGAGAGCATCATAACTTCCTTGCCCGTTGAGAAGAGGAGAGGTAGTCAAGCTATTTAATTACTATTAAAGTCACCTCAATCCATTATGACTATTAAACGGCTCCAACCCGTTATGATCACCAGACTAGCTATTCAATTACTACGCTAAGCCACTATAAATTATAAGTCCTACCAACACTTAGGGGGCATCATCAAGACACTCATTCAAGATAATTCTCTCCTCACCCTCTCAAAGCTTGTAATTCTTTACTCTCCATACACACTTGAGTTAATAAAATTTCGGTGACCCTTGTCATTTAAAGTGGACGTAGGTCACGTTGACCGAACCACTATAAACCTTGTTTTCTCTCTTCCTCTACTTGTTTTACTGCATTTTATACTGCTTACTTGATAGATGGTGTGCAAAACTAATTTCTGCATCATCAATTTTAAATGATGGGCCAGGCCTAAGGGTCCAACCCATGTTGTAAGCCTAGTTTAAATTAAGAGCCCAACTCCGAGAGATCTAGCGCCCAAAGTGGTCCACGCCCGATCAAGCTTACCAGGTTCGAGGAGGTAAATCAGCAAGAGAGCCTCCTCCTAGCCACCTTGAAGTAAGGGTCATCCAAGAGCCTCATCCTTGCCACTTAAAGAGAGTCAACCTTCCCTCATCCTTTGACCAAGTCTTTTGGAGAGCATCATGACTTCCTTACCCATCGAGAAAAGGAGAGGTCGTCAAGATATTTAATTACTATTAAAGTCACCCCCAATTCGTTATGACTATTAAACAGTTCCAACCCGTTATGACCGTCAAACTAGCTATTCTATTACTATACTAAGCCACAATAAATTGTAAGTCCCACCAACACTTGGGGAGCATCATCAAGACACTCATTCAAGATAATTTTCTCCTCACTCTCTCAAAGCTTGTAACTCTTTGCTCTCCCTACACACCTAAGTTAATAAAATATTGGTGACCCTTGCCATTCAAAATGAATGTAGGTCATGTTGACCGAACCACTATAAACCTTGTCTTCTCTCTCCCTCTACTTATTTTACTGTATTTTATACTGCTTACTTGACAGGTGGTGTGCAAAACCAATTTGTGCATCATCAGTATACTTTCAAGGTCTTGGTTAGAAAATGAGATTAAGGCCTCATCAGTTTAGTGGATTTTTTATGCTCGATCTATGGTGTAGATCCGGTAGATTTCTATACTAGATCAAGCTCAATGCATATGATTCTTTTGGGATGTGCTATATTCTCCTCCTCT